TTCCTGATAATGTCACTAAGAATTTCAATTCCACACCACCCTCAACCCTGAATACACACACACACACATAGCCTTAGATTCCCCTTCTGTGCTTTAATTTTTTTCTCCCTAAGACTTATTACTATCTAATAGGTACTTAGTTATCTTAAATATTGTGTGTGTCTCTCAACTGGAATGTCAATTCCATAAGGTTAGGAACTAATGTCTTATTTATGCATTTACACCTCCTGTGCCTCTAAAAGTACCTGAGATACAGTAAGTAATCAAGTATTTGTTGAACAAATGAATGAATGGATGAATGAATCTGCACTGGAGCCCCAATACAAATTTTGGTGAAGCAGCCGTTGAACCAATGGAATCATCCAGGCCTTGCAACAACTTTTAGCAGCAATTCACCATGATCTGTTACTCAAAACTCCTAGACTTCTTCTAAATGAACATTAGCCATCCAATATTTACCACACCAAAGAGTTCTTCCTAGTTTCTAGCTAATGATGATGATTGCATAGATCAAGCCCATTTCAACATTTTGCATGATTTATTATCAGCCTCTCGGTGTTATTGCTACTGTTCAACCATTCACTCCATATGCACCAGTAATACTCATTTCATCACCATTTATTTTTATGTGTTTAAATGATCTCTCTTTTAAACATGTAATTATAATTGTATGCACTTTATTTATGTTCTTTCAGCATTCTTCAGTCTTTTGCACTCTTTGTAAATGCTAAAGTTTGTTTCTAACCCTGCAGCGACTTCCATGTTTCCATACAAACATTGCAAACTTACCATAGACCAGAAGTTGTAAATTAGTGATGTCTGGATGAGTCAATTACAGATTAGCCAACTTGATATTTAATTGAAAAAATTTTGCCAGTATATTAAAAATCAGACAACTTTTAACGTAAAAATCCAGATTTCTAGTTTCTCTTAAACAAGCCTACATTCTTTCTGCTGTTACCTTTAGATAAGACTTATATTTTCCAGTGTGTGGCAATCCCTGTGACATCTGTGCAACCTATTTTACTTCATTGAGTTACCTGCCTGACCCCTGTAGGTATTTGACATTGATTGAAACCACAGGCAGGGAAATGACTTAGAGACTAAAACAATCCTGGGTGCTCACCAATGGCACCTACTGGGATAGGCAGAGTTATCCACTTATTCGGAAGCACTGCTTTCTATCTCCGGACAATTATAAAATGAAAGTTTCTAAGGTCAGTAGGTTTGCTAAATCTACCAAAAGCAGTTTTGGAGAGTCCATGTTTTATTTATCCTGCTACTTGTTTTTTTAAAAATTAAAAAATGTTTTTGTTTCTCTTCCCTTATCCTTCCTTTCTCTTGATTTAGACAGGAAAGAGCAATGCGAAGGGAGATGAGGTGAGAGGATCCTTTTCCCTCCTATGGTCTCATTCCTTTGACTGGAGTTCATAAGGGAGTAGGCAGCCTTCATAAGTCTGAAACCCTCTGCTGTGTAGACTACTGACACAGCCCTGTAGAGTGGTCGTGGGAGCCCCTCAACCAGTTGGGTTAAAATGTGTGGCCACTTGCGCATATATTTATCACCTTTTGTGGTTACCTCATAATTCGTCTAAAAGAAGACCTCCCTCTGCTGATTAACAGGCACCCTGCCTTCATCTATAAAAAGGACATAGCCAAAGGACAATAGGAAAGACAAGTAGAACTAGTTAAATGTCACTGAGGTTCAATCCTGATTACTTTGTATAGGAAAGCGGTAGGATGCAGATTGTCACAGGCTAGACTATGAATTCCACCAGAGCAGACAGTATGTCTGCCTGATGCGCCACTGTGTTGTCAAAGTTTGGCTGAGTAGCTTGTGGCAAGTAGGATGAATGAGGAAAGGAGTGAATGAATTTAGAGGCTGTAGTCATTGCAGGCAGAAGCAAGTTCTCAGATTTGCTGGACACTTCCAGAGTTTGGATGATAGAAGCAGATCTTACACACTGGTAAATTGGAAATGGGTTATTGATATTCAAGGGACTTTATTTTTAACAATGATTTTCTTGCCCTGAACATGATTTTTCTTAAAATAAACAGAATGTATAGTGCTTGTGCCGCCTCCTTTATTGATACTTATCTGTTCTCGGGCACAGAAAAACAGGAATAAAAGGTAGTCCTTTATTATTGAAATGCATTCCATTAAAGTGCACACCAAAAATTGGTGAAATGGGCCTTTGTTCTTCTTTTTTCCTCTCACAATTTTAGATGTCAGTTTTTAAACTTCTTCTCATTTGCATCCAATGCTTCCTCCTAGACAGTTAACTCTTTCCTACAGTTGTAGTCAGCTCTGTGCTGATGAGGCTGCAATCTGTATCTTCTGCCCTGACTTGGCACTAAGCTCTGGATGCATACCTTGCATTATCCACAGGCCAGCTCTCCTGAGCTATCTTCAGTGTTGCCTCGACCTCATTGTAATCCATTGGATTTCATCTTCATCTTCCCTAAATGCCACTGTTCTGTCCAGGGCATCACCACTCCCTAAATTCCTTAGATGATGTCTTGGTCCATTTGTGTTGCTATAAAGGAATACCTGAGGCTGGGCAATTTATGAAGAAATAGACATATTTGGCTCATGGTTCAGCAGGCTGTACAAGAAGCATGGTGCCAGCATCTGCTTGTGGTGAGGGTCCAGGCTGCTTTCACTTATGGTGGAAGGCAAAGGGGAGCTGGTGTGCAGAGATCACAGGGCAAGAGCAGAAGCAAGAGAGAGGGGTAAGGTGCCAGACTCTGTTTAACAACCAGTTCTTATGGGAACCAACAGCAAGGGCTCACTCACACACTTCCTCAGTAGTACCAAGCCATTCATGAGGGATTCACCCCCATGACCTAGACACCTCCCATTAGGCTTTACCTTCAACATTGGAGATCAAATTTCAACATGAGCTTAAGGGGACAAACATCCAAGTGTCCAATGGCAGATAATTAACCTGAAAATTATCCTTGACTTGTCCTTCTTATTTACCCTCAATAGCCTCTGAAATATCTCTTATGTTTGCCTCTTGCTCCCCATGCCCCTTGCCACAATCCCAGGCCTAGCGGTTACTGCCTCATACCTTGTCCACAGCCATGGTTTCTTAACCCTTCTTGTTTCCAGCCATGTCCCCTCCATACCATTTTTCTGCTACCAAACTAACCTAAAATGGCCAATTTCATAGTTTCACTCTCTGCTGATCAAATTTCCTGATTCTTTTTACCTATGTTTGTTTTGTGTCATCTTTAACATTTTCTTATACACAGTAAATACTTGCTTAATAAAAAGTACTAAGAGTGATTGAAATAAGGAAGTTTGGTCATGTGAATTTGCTGGAGCTATGTTGACTATGCTTTGGCCTAGTTTATAGAAGATTAGCAGCTGATTCATATCTCTATTTAAGGAATGGAGAACTTGGCCAGAAATATTTTTATATTGCAGCTGCAAATAAGACAAAGAGTTTTCATCTGGACCTCAATTTCCTTACCTTACAACAGAGAAAAATGCCACCTATGAGTATCCTAGATTTGCTGGAAGTATTACATGTGATGGATTAAGGCACCCAGCATGGGATATCCCACAGATGCAAAATGAATCCTACCTGAGTCTTAATACAAAAAGATTGAATTAGCGAATTTGATGGCAACATGAAATAATGAATCATTTTATATAAATCACAATTTATAAAATTCAGATTCAACTAAAATTTGGCACTAATTATGACCTCTGTGTTAGGTATGTGAACACATATATCATCTCCTCATGCATTCTTAGAAGTAACCCTGTGATGCAAGTGGTCTTTTTTTCAATGTACAGACAAGTTTAGCTGAGAAAAAGGAAAAATGCCTTACTCCAGGCTTGTTGGTATATACTGGAATTAGGGTTTGTCTCAAGATTTCTGCTTCCAAGTCTTTTTCTTTTTCTTTTTCTTTTTTTCTTTCTTTTCTTTTCTTTTCTTTTTTTTTTTTTTTTTTTTTTTTTGAGATGGAGTCTCACTCTGTCACCCAGGCTAGAGTGCAGTGGCACGATCTCAGCTCACTTTAACCTCCGCCTCCCGGGTTTAAGCAATTCTCCCGCCTCAGCCTCCCGAGTAGCTGGGACAACAGGTGTGCGCCACCGTGTCCTGCTAATTTTTGTATTTTCAGTAGAGATGGGGTTTCACCATGTTGGCCAAGCTGGTCTTGAACTCCTGAACTCAAGTGATCCTCCTGCCTCGGCCTCCCAAAGTGCTGGGATTTACAGGCATGAGCCCCCATGCCTGGACTCTTTTGCTTTTTCTATGTACCATGCTCTCAAATATTTTTCTTATCATTTTTTTTTCACCTTTTAACATGAGCATTGTTAAAACGCTCATGACTTACATTTTTACTCTCCTGTTGAATAACTTAGTTCATACTCTTTTTCTTTTGTTTTCTGTATGCTTATTTTAAAACCTTTGTTCCTATATTTGTATTCTTGGTGGTTCGAAGACTCTCAAACATTGTCTCAGCAGCAGCATCATATCTGTTTATAAAAGTTGAGGAAGTACTGTATTTCCAGCTTAGGAAACTGAAGGTAAGTAGCACAATTAATTTCAACTGGCATCTGTTTCAATGACTCTGTTAATGCAAATGGGTTGTAAACTGTCAGTGAATATCTAGGGATATCTAGGGAGTTGTTATAAGCTACGGTTAAGTGAATTTTCTGCTTTTGAAATGGTTGTAGATTGCATTATTTGCTGAGTTCCACTTTTTAATACATAGGAATACTGCAGAGACAACATTTTTATGTGTTTGACATTTTATGAAAAAAAAATTGCAAGTCATGAACAGCCCTCTTTCTTTCTTAATCTACCTGAAAATAATAACTATAATTAACTTTTGTTACATTGTTATCAGAAAAGGATAGTCAAATTAGCATTAAACAGATGTAAAGTCAACCTTCCTATGAGAGCTGTGTATATAAACTCTCTGGAAGACCTATTGTGCTTCAAGAATGAATTTTAGTTATCTATTTAAAACGTCTAATTACTTTAGATCTTCGGTTTAATGTTAAAATGCCATATTGTTTATAGAATCGGCTTGCCTTCTCAACAAATGAAATTTGCATTGAAATTGCTCTACGTGCAACGCACCATGTTAGGTGCTGTGGAAGGGTGCAATTCCTGTACTCCAGAAGCTGACATTTCAGTTGGGAGATGTATATAGCATCCAGCTCTGTTCATATATGCTGGCCCCTCTGTTCGAAATGGGCTTCATCACTTTTCTCCCTCCTTTATCTGGCCAGCTTCTATATATTTCTCAAGGCCCAGCTGTACATCATCTTCTTTTTTTTAACTGATAAATAAAAAATACATATGTTTATGGTATACAGTGTGATGTTTTATGTATGTATACATTATGGAATAATTAAACTAAGCTAATTAACTTACCTATCCCCTCATATACTTATTTTTTTTCCTGTGAGAATATTTAAATAACCTTAGCAATTTTCAAGGATATGGTACATTAACTATAGTCACCCTTTTGTACAATAGGTCTCTAGGAGTTATTCCTCCTATCTAGCTGAAAGTTTGTTCTCTATGGCCAACGTCTTCCCATTTTTCTTACCCTCCCCGCATTGCTCAACTACTCCCTGCTTCTATAAGTCAACTTTTTAAGATTTCACATAAAAGTGAGATTATGCAGTATTTGTCTTTCTGTGCCAGGCTTCTTTTACTTAGCATAATGTCCCCCTGATTAATCTATGATGTCACACATGACAAAATTTCCTTCTCTTTTAAAGTTGAATAGTATTCCATCGTGTATATAGACCACATTTTCTTTATTCATTCATCTGATGCTGGATACTTAGGTTGATGCCACATCTTGGCTGTCGTGAATAATGCTGCCGTGAACATGGGAGTGCAGGTATCTGTTCTGAGTTCATTCCCTTTGGGCATATGCCTCTGCCATGCCTGGCACATTTCTCATTATGCCTGTGAGATTTTTGTACTCACTCTCCCTGCCTGTGTCTCCACTCCTTATGTCTATAAATCTGAATCATTCTCCTAGAACCAAGAACAGAACCAACTACATAATTTGTGGGCCCCAGTGCAAAATAAAAATGTGGAGTCCTTTGTTTAAAGATTAGGAATTTTTAGACAGCAGAGCATTAAACTAAGTGTGGAGCCCTTCTGGGCACAGGCCTGTATGAGAGTGCACAGGCCACTGGATTATATGGTAGTTCTATTTTTAATTTTTTGAGGAACCTCCATATTCTTCATAATGGCTATACTAATTTGCATTGAATCCCCACCAACAGTGTACAACGGTTCCCTTTTTCTCCATATCCTTGCCAATGCTCACCTTCTATCTTTTTGATAATAGCCATCCTAACAGAGGTGATGTGACATCTCATTGTGATTACAGCTATACTTCTTCTAAGATGCCTTCCTACCTGGCACTTTACTGTCATTTTGCTTTTGGTACCCTATGCATCTTTCTACCAGAGTTTATCACAAGGTATTATAATTGTTATGTTTGTTAACCTCCCTGATTGCAAACTTCCCGAATTTATAAGACTGAGTCTTTTAGATTTGTTTTCTGAGTACCTGGTACATGGTATGATCCTAATAAGAGCTTGATGAATGAATAAAAATGCAACAAACACATACAGATATATAGTCATAAAGATTAGTTGACAAATGTGGCATGCAATAAGTATCAAGAATGTCTTATAAACAAGTACTATAGGCTTTAGCAGGAGAAGAAAGAATACAATGGTGGTCAAGGGAAGATTCTTGGCCAGGCTAGCCTCCTAGCCTGTGCCCAGAAGGGCTTCACACTTGGTTTAATGCTCTGCTGTCGCTGTCTAAAAATTCCTAATTTTTAAACAAAGGACTCCACATTTTTATTTTGCACTGAAGCCTACAAATCATGTAGTTGGTTCTGTTCTTGGTTCTAGGAGAATGATTCAGATTTATAGACAAGGGGAGTGGAGAGACAGGCAGGGAGAATGAGCACAAAAATCTCACAGGCATAATGAGAAATGTGCCAGGCTTCCAGAGGGTCAAGGACAGGCCAGCCTGAAGGCACTAGAGGGTTTACGTTGTTGCTCTGAGGCTTGGAAGATGGATTGAGGCAAAGTTTGGACATTTTTCTAGCAGCAATGAGTAACTTCAGATGCATAGGGAGCAGGAGAGTGAAGGGAGAAAACTGTAGCCTTATGAAGAGTCATGTGGTGCTGCTATGCAGGATGGAGAGAGGAGCAGTGAGGCAAAAAACAGGGAAATCAGGAAGCTAATCCAAATGTGATAATAAGGCAAAAGTGGCAAAGAAAGAACAAAACCAAGAAATACTATAAGGGAAAAATAAATGAAACTTTGACCACATGTGGGAATTGCAAAAAATAAAAAATAAAAAAAAATAAAAATAAAAAGTAGGACTCAAGGAGTACTCTGGACTGTCCTGGGGGTGTAGTCTGCTCTTGGTGGAACGAAGGAAGAAAGCGATGGGCTAAGGGCAGCTTCTTTGTCAAAGGAATGATGACTTCAGTTTTAGACATTGGAGATTGTCGGAATTTCAAAATAGACTTGTTTATTTTTCACTTAAATATGAGTAATTGTTCATGGAGAAGAGAAATTGGAAAAGGAAAGGATTGTTAACAGTGTCAAATATTGTATAAAAACAAGGACATTGAGGACTGAATAGAGTCCAGTTTCAGAAGAGTGATGAGAACAGCAGCCGAATAGAGATTCTATGGAAATGAACAAAGGTAGCATTTATTAAATTCATAATCCTCTTGTCCAAACCCCTCCTCCTGAATTCCTCATCTCATTGAATGTTACTACTCTCTACCACCCAGTTTCCCATGCTCCTTCCACCATATTCAATCTCTTTTCCTCCGTAGTCAGTCAGTCTTTTCTTCCCCTTTCTGCCTATCAAGTGTCTCTGGAATTCACCCACGTATAATTATCCCACTGCCACCATCATCACCTTATGCCCTGCCAAGGCAAAGGCTTCTGGGATGGGCCAGTCTTTATTCTCCCCACTCTTCCTATAGTCCTTGCCATCTTACTCTTCTCACTGGAGTTAGGGGGATTTTTCTAAAACTCAAGTATAATTGTGTCACTTTCCACTTATGACTGTTAGGAATTGTGTCCTACCAAAAATATTGAAGTTCTAAATCCAAATGCCTATGAATGTGACCTTATTTAGAAATAGGGTCTTTGCAGAAAATCAAGTTAAGATGAGATCATTAGGATGGGCCCTGATCCAATATGATTGTTATCTTTTTTAAAAAGGGGAAATTTAGACACAAATGTGTAGATAAAAGCAGAAATTGGGGTGATGCCTTTATAAGCCAAGGATGACAAATGTTGCCAGCAAACCCACCAGGCTGGGAGAGAGACATGGAACAAATTCTCTCTCACAACTCGCAGAAGGAACCAGTCCCACAACACTGTAGTTTCCGATTTTTAACTTCAGAACTGTGAGATAATTCATTTTTGTTATTTTAAACCACTCAGTTTTTGGTACTTTGTTACAACAGCCCTAGGAAGTAGATAGGGATCCTAAAATGGCTCCCAATTGCTTGCAGGGTGTGATGGTTAATTTTTTATGTGTCAACTTGACTGGGCCATGGAGTGCCCAGATATTTGGTCAAACATTATTCTGGGTGTTTTGGTGACAGTGTTTTGGGTGATGTTAACATTTAACTTGGTAGACTGAGTTAAGCAAATGGCCCTCCCTAAGGGAGTGGCCCTCATCCAATCAGCTGAAGGCCTGAATAGAGCAAAAAGGTTGACCATCCCTTGAGTGAGAGAGAATTCTTCCTGACTGACTGCCTTTGAGCTGAGACTTTGGCTTTTTTCTCCCTTTGGACTCAAACTGAAACACTGGATCTTCCTGGGTCTCAGGCCTGCCAGCCATCAGGCTAGAACTTCACCACTGGCTCTCCTGGGTCTCCAGCTTACTGAATCATTATGAAGATCTTGGGACCTGTCAGCCTCCCTAATCACATGAACCAATTCCTTGTAATAAAGCTCTTTATACATATACATACATGCATAAATACATACACACAGACACATATCCTATTGTTCTGTTTCTCTGGAAAACCCTGATTAATACACAGGGTAAAGCCCAAACTCCTAAACACAGTTAAAAGATCCACTATGACTTGGTCTCTGCAAAATCCTCCAGTTTTTCTCTTTCTCTGCACTTTCCCCCAGCTTCGCACTCTTAAACCACAGTAGCATCCAGTTTTGGTCATATTTTTGATGTACTTTTATTTCTCCCACCTGTGATCTTTCACACATGCGATTCCCTTATGCTTATAGTACATTTCCACCTTTCCTTTCCATGTCATTCTTCAAGTCTCAGCTTAGTCCTCTTCATTAATTTATTCAACAAACGTTTTTGAAATGCTGGATACAGTGTTTAGAAGTTAACAAAGCAAACACAGCACTTGGCCTCATGGAATTCCAAGTCTAGTACGTGAGACTAATATCAAATGAGCCAATAGTATACCAGAGATGTCAGCAGTATGTTGGAGACTATGAAATAGGTGATAACACTAGCCTTAACAGATATGGAAAAGCTGAATTCCAAGCCTATAATGAGAGAAGCCATAGAGAAGTAATTCATATCCCACCATGGGCACTCAGCAAAGTTCAGTACTCTGAGGCACCAGATACCTTTGGAGGCAGAGTGCAAGAGGGACTTGAAAAATAGGAAGATTAGTAGAAAGTTTATATAAGGAGCAGTAAGACATTCCCCACCCTGTCCCCACCCACATGTTGCTATATAAAATTTAAAAAAGAAACATGCAGGAAAAAAGGGTTTTTAGCAATTGCTATGGTTTGAATGTCCCCTCCAAAACTCATGTTGAAATTTAATTGCCATTGTGATAGTATTAAGAGGTGAGGCCTTAAAGGGGTGACTGCCCACGTAGAATTAATGCCATTATAAAAAGGCAAGTTTGTCCCAGTCTTGCTTCCTTGCCTTCTTGCCTTCTGCCATGGGATGAGGCAGCAAGAAGACCCTTATAAGATGCTGGCACCTTATATTGGACTTCCCAGCCTCCAGAACTGTGAGTCAACGAATTTCTGTTTATTATAAGTTACCCAGTCGGAGATATTTTGTTATAACAGCACAAAACAGACTAAGAGATAAATTTTGAGGTGAAAGCAGAAATAAAACATTCAATGGAAGTTTTGAAGCAAGTGTAGAAAAATTCTAACAGTAGAATAGGAAGGCTAAGAGGCAGAAGATGGGAGGAAATAAAGGAAATTAGAAGATTAATCCAAGAGGCATAACATGCAAATAAATGTAATCCCAGGGAAATAGAGCATAGGAAACAGAGGAAAGGAGACAAGAGATGGAGAGAGAAACTATTTCCCAGAACTGAGAGACTTGAATTTCCCAATTAGAAAGGACCACTGAGTACCTTGCATGGTAGATGAAAACAGACTTACACTAAGACAGATCACCAACAATTTTCAGAACATCTGGCATTAAAAAAATTCTAAAAATTTTCCGAGAGAAACCAAAAATGACGTGAAAGGGACCATAAGTCAGAATGATATCAGATGTCTCAACAGCAACCCTGGAACCTAGAACACACAGGAACAATTCCTTCCAAATTCTGAGAAAATGATTTCCAGTATGGACTTCAAAGAATGAAGATAGTTTTCAACTATAAAATGTCTCAAGAAATTTATGTTCCATATACTCTTTCTCAAGAATCCACTAGAGGATATGCTCATTTAAACAAGGAAGTAGACCAAGAAAGTGGGATGGTGTGTGGTCCGGAAATAGGAGATTCAGCCTAGATGGAGAATAAAGGGGTCCCCAGAGTGATGAGGAAGGGAAGCTTCTAGAAGGCAGCTGGGCAGCAGGACCGAACAGGAGGAAGGGCCTCTCCAAGGGGGAAACAAGGGATGGAATCATTTCTTGATGTTTTAAATTGTATTTTAGCTCTTTTGGAGAGTTTATACAGAATTAGTAATATGTACATAGAAACCTAGCATATCAAAAAAGATACAAAAACATAATGCAAAATATTCCTAACTCAGTTATGAATATTTTGAGTCGCTGTAAAAACTTGAGTATTGATTTAACTAAAAGGATATTGTAAACTGCTCTGGAGGATGATGGGAAGGTTACCATGTATATGTTGGACTAGGGGATGTGAGAAGCTCAAATATTTATCTTTCAAGTAGGAAGGAAAAAAATATATGAACACATATATACGTATATATGTATGTATCTGAACCTAATCAAGATATTCCATAAGCGTAACTCTAGAAATATGGAACAAAACAACAGAAGAACTAGCTAAAACTGTTGAAAATACTTGATTCTAGGGAATGGAATCAGTGGGGAAGGAGTGTGTCAGGAGACTGGTGTTTCATGAGGAGCCTTGAGGTAATATTTGACTTCTAAAACTAAATACATATATTACTTTGATTAATAAATCAAAGAAAACATATGTCCACACACACAAAATGTACACAAATGTTGACTGCAGCATTTTTTATAATATCAAATAGTAGAGAGCTTGTGAATATCCATCAGCTGATGAGCAAATAAAATTTGATATATTCATACAGTGGAATGTCATTCTTCTATAAAAAGGAACGAAGGCCAGGTGCAGTGGCTCATGTCTGTAGTCCCAGCACTTTGGGAGGCCGAGGCAAGAGGATCACCTGAGCCCAGGAATTTGAGACCAGCCTGGCCAACACGACAAGACCCTGTCTCTATAGAAAAAAAAAAAAAGAAATTAATTAGCCAGGTGTGATCGTGTGTGCCTGTAGTCCCAGCTACTCAGGAAGCTGAGACGGGAGGATGGCTTGAGCCCAGGCATTCAAGGCCTCAGCAAGCTATAATCGCACCCCTGCATTTCAGGCTGGGTGACAGAGTGAGACCCTGTCTCAAAATAAAAGAATAAATAATAAAGTGAAGTACTGACATGTGACAACATGGATGGACCTTGAAAACATGCTAAGTGAAAGAGGCTCATAACAAAAGAACATGTATTGTGTAATTCCCTTTATATGAAATGTCCAGAATAGGCAAATTTATATATAGAGAAAATAAACTAGTGGTTGGCTATGGCTGGGAATTTGGGAGATGGGGGTGAATGGGGAGGAATTGCTAATGGGTACAGAGTTTCTTTTGGGGATGATGAAAATGTTCTGGAATTATACAGTGTAATTGTTGCACAACTCTGTTAAAATACAACAAACCACTCAATTGTAAACTTTTTAAAGGTGAATTTTATGGTATGTAAAGCATATTGCAATGAAGCCATTATTTTAAAAATTAAAGAACAAATATTAATAATCATACCTAATTCATAGAGTTGTTGTGAGGAATAAATGAAATAATGTATGTTAGGGGTCTAGTCCAGAGCTTGATGTAAATATTAAAAGATTAGTTAACACTTACATAGCATATACTATGTGCCAGGCACTCTTCTAAGTTCTTTACATGTATCAATTCACTTAACCCTTGCAACAACTGTATCAAATAGACACTGTTCTTATCCCCATTTTCTAGATGAGGAAACTGAGGCCAGTGCTGGTAAACAATTTGCCCAAGATCACACAGCTAGTACAACAGTAGAACTGGAGTCTGACCCCAGCCAGCTGGCCCAGATTCTTTACTCTTCACCACTTTGATGCTCCCTCTCTCTGCCTCCCAGGCCCCAAATCTGGGTTAGTGCTGTGTGTTACCAGGGACACTGCTTTTCATCTGTTGTGATTCCAAATGGAGAACTCTTCACTTGCCTTTTTTCCTTGTCTGTGTCTTCAACTATAGTGGACATTCTACAACAGCAGGGACTGTACCCATCTTAATTCATCTTCATTCCCTGCCCATCATATATTGGGATGATGGTGGGCTGTAGAGTGAAGCAAAGGTGTTTTTCTCTTTGTACAAATCCTGTGAGTGCCTGGAGAGGAAGTAGGGAGAGCTGAAGATGCTAGCATTAAGATGCTAGAAAAACATGGGATAATTGGTGGAGCAAGGTATCTAAGGAAGTAGAAGATTAAGAGTGAGATAGTAATGAAACACTGGCCTTGGGAAGAAAGAAGAATGCTGCTTCCATTAAGACTGAAAGAGGAGGAAGATGTGGATGTTGTGAGAGTAGAGGGGAAGCTCATACCAGACCACTTGGATCATCTCAGTCAAGAAGGGGCAGCAGAAGAATCTTGGGCCAGGACAAAGCATAGGAGGGTGGAGTGGAAGGTTGAGGCAAGAGGAGAGAGTTTAGAATAAATGCCCAACTTTTTGGGGTCTGTGATCTCTTTACTAATACAATGGACCCTTCTCCCAGAAAAAAGTACATACACACAAAATTATGCATTTAGTTTTAGGGGTCTATGGACTCCAAGTTGAGAATGCCTGTTCTCAAGACTTAATAAAATTGAATAAAAGTATTTATGGGAAGTAATGTGAAGTCAAGCATCTTGACTTTTTAGCATTCCAAGTTTCTGTTTCTGTGACTTTCCTCAGCAATATTCAGAGGCCCAAGTGTAGCAGGTGATCTGGTATCTGGGACTGAGGCCAGAGGCTTCAGGGCAGGAGAGGGTGGGATGAAGTCTGAGAGGGTGGTAGGGCCTAGAGGAAGGCAAAACCCAGGCCAGGGACTGGCAGTGGAGGCTCATAGAGGGTGGGGTGAGAGAGGTCCACTCCAGCTGCAGGCCATAAGGGGGCGCACTGTCTGTGGAGAACATAAAAACGTAAGAAAACCAAAAGTCAGTCTTCTGTTTACTATTATGCTGTACAAGCAATTTAAAACACCAACAGCAGTAAAATACTATTCTCTGAAAAAGTCTTGGTCTAGGACCTAAACAATTGCCTGAAACTGGGTACACTTACACCACTGAGAGGCAGATAAAGAGATTAAGATTGAGGGAGTAGGGCAGGGCTTGCAACGGTGCCGGCCAGGATGTGGCTGAGGGGGTGTGGGTGCCTACCATGGATGCTAGGGTAGAAGACGACTGTATTAACTGGGTGTCTGTAAGCAGCACCCAAGTCAGTGCCTTTCATCTTCTACAACCTAGACATTGCCTGGAATCCTAAATCCTTTTCTTCACTTAACAAACGTCTCCTCTGCTCAAAGCTGCAACTGCTTTGATATCACACTGCCTTTTTCACCCCTCTATTATAGATGGCATTTATTTACTTACATATTTTTTCCCCACTAGACTATACTCCTTGAGAACAGCAATTGTGTCTTATTTATTTCTGAATCGCCAATTCAGAAAGGCATGCAAACACTTGTTGAACCAATGCACAAATATATTTTGCTCTTCTTTGTAGATTCCTCTGGCCTCAGATGACCAGGCACCACTAGATACAGCATACTGCACTTTCCTTCTCCAAGGTAAAGGAATAAATATATGTTCCCCTTCATGAAGTGTCACCCTTGGGCCCTTATGCCATCCTGAAACCACCAGGATGTGGAACTAGATCAGGGAGGTCCACAGTTACAACCCCTTGTATCTGTTAAGACGATCAGGACGTTATCTACGGAGTCCTGCTGCAGGGCCCCGAATGAGGACAGCATTTTGCTGCTTTGTAGCGTGAGCAATGGTGTAACAGCAACACATGGATGTTCCTCTGGTGTCCTGAAAGAATTTAGGTGCTTCTTGAAAGCTCTCTGCAACTTATTAATTGGGAGTGATTATGCAATGGAGAAAAAAGAGTCCCTCAGCCCCCGACTCTTCCCTGGGAAATCACAAGAGGGCTGATAGCTCTCGGTGAGGTGAACCGTTTCTAGAATCCCCACCGTCTCGTCCTGTTCTTCCACCCACCCAGTTCCTCAAGATAGCCCCTGTGGGCTTCTGATGAGGTCACCACACCACTGGCTAATGAAGTAGATAAACCAGAACAGTTTGGTTTAACATTTAAGGTCAGAAACAGGAACTTTCTAGAGGAGAAATCAAAAAAGCAAAAGAAGTATAAGGGCAGCCCTCCAACCAGTCAGAATACCGTGACCACCTGAGAGGCCCAGGGCCCAGCAAACACGGACGCATGTCGACTCCGGAGCAGGTATCTTCAGCGCAGCATCTGACCTGGGAGCACAGCCACACACCCTCATTCCTAAACAGCAGATTGACTACTGGAACCGCACACAGTCTCCAGGCAATGTGGAGACATGTCTAATATTTAGTCAACATAACCCAGGGTGCCACAGTCTTCACAACCGTCGTGAGCGCTTGAGGATGCTCCGTTTGAAGATAGGAATTTGCCCTCAAGCATCTGGGGTTTGGGTACAGAATAGCGCTTCCCCCGCCACCACCTGCTAATTTTATAAAATGTACATTCAAAAAAAATCCTGCCTGTAAGAAGGAATTAAGCCACCCATTTAAATATAACAGCTGCCTGTGCAATCTACTGCTGCTCTTTATAGGAAATGCTTAAATAATTGAGATACTTAATTGGGTTAAAGAGATCCCGAGCACATAGATGTTCTATAAATAAAAGAACGAGTAAATAATCTAGTAACCTTCCTTTTCATGTCCTTCACTTAAAGCGATCATTCTGTTTTGTTTGCACCAATGAGATCACTGCTAGAGGACTCCAGAAAGGTTTGATTGCAGGTGGGGTGGGGCTTTCCCAAGGAAATCCCT